CTAAGACGGCCACGATTGCGCTGAACAGGGTTATGAGGAGACTGGCGAACCAGAGTCCATTAACCCATAGCTGGTCTGGAGCGGGCTTGTAGTTATTCGCGGCATCTGACGGTGGTTCGTTGCGCAAAGCGCTGCGGATGTCCATGAGCAAGGCCTCCGAATCTTCCAACCGAAGCTTCTTTCGTGACTCCGCCAAGAAAGTCGTTATGACGCCGGCGAACAGACCTGCCTGGGACCCGTGTCAGCACCGTCAATCTCTGCACAGTTGGACGCTCAGAACTCACAAAGATCAACAGGGATTCGAGACCGGTCTTCCACACTTCTGCTTGGTCTTTGGCATTCTCTTCCGCCTCCCGAAGGTACAGCGCCCACGACTTTGCATTGCGGCTGAACTCCTCGTTGCGCTCATTCTTCTCAGAATCAGGGCTATCAGGCCTTGCATAGGAGCCTTTCTCGGCCTGGTCATCATCAGGAGGAAACTGAGAAGATTCATTAGCCAGGAGACCATTCGCTACACTAGAAAGCCCCTACGTTTCTTGTTGTATCAGACATATTCATCGGTGTATGTCAAGGCAGAAGGCAGGGATGGAAAGCCTTGTTGCGACCGCAGGCTCCCTAATTGCCTCGAGTCCAGGCAAGCTGTCAGTATCACTGGGCCACTGGCCCGGGAAAGTCGGCCATTGACACTGGAACGTTGTGCCAAACTTAAACAACCCATTCGAATAGGCTCAAGAAGTGATTCTTGAGGCATTTTCTGGCATATCTTGTTCCAGACGCCACGTATCGGTCTCATCCCGAAGATTGAAGATTGAATTCGAAATAGACGATGACGGAGAAGAATCAACAGCTTACGCCCAGTCGGACAGGGCTTGTAGGAACTCCGACATCAACGCAGTATTTCATCCCAACAACTTGGCCGAAGGTCTTACGCTTGTCGTACGCTGCAAAGTCATAACACTACACCATGCAGGCTGTTAATTATGAGATGAATCTGTATGGTAAAGGCCATCTAAGTAGACTATGTCGAGAACACTCCCAACAACTTGAACATGGGCACGGTTTGCCCCTCCTCACCCAGCAGCTGGCACTCGACAAAATGCGACCCTCGAAACAAAGTGATCAATCATCATAAGCCTGAAGAACAGAATAGCATGTGAGCAATCGGTAAATGAAAGAGAAAAGAGAAAGGAACATACGCAGGCTGAGCTTCTGGAATATCAGCAGCGTTCTCAATAACCTTGGCACCAGCGTAATTGTCGTCGACCCAACATTCGACTGAGCTTCCTTCTCCAACCTCCGAGACTGGTTCTCTGAGGTAGTAAATGGCAATATCACCAGCGCCGATCTGCATTGGGATGCGAATCTTGCTGGTTGGCAATGTCGAGGACCAGTAGTGCGCGGTTGTGCGGAGCGAACTTCCACCCGTTGTCGGAGGGTGGTGCGTGGTCCATCCGGAGCCATAGAAAAGAGAAGGCGGAAGTGGGTTAATTAGATCATTAGCAGACACGCAGAAGGGTGCGATCTCCTGGAAGGGACGCTCGCTGTTTGGCCGTGTGTTGATTCGAGCTGTTGGGACTTGGATTTGAGCGAGGACGTTGGGAAGACCCTTGATAACCTTCTTGTTGCCAACCTGGGCTTCTGGGGCAGGCTCAGCGTCCTCCTTGTCGGGATTGTCTCCAGGTTCAGGGACACCCTTCCTCTGGCCTACGCCACCAAAGAGACCATGGGGGTCTCCAGCGCCCTTCTCGCCCTTGCCGCCTGATCCTTCGTCCCAAGAGTTGGTAGAGGCCATATCCCAAGCCTGGCAAACCTGGTTCTGGAAGTACGCCACAAGCATGTCGGTGATGATTTCATGACCGGCAGGACTAGCGAGAATAGGATCTGCATAGTACTTGTCGACAGAGTGGGGGTCTCGCATGTAGGAAGGGTAGAGTGCTGGCTTGATAGTAATGTGCGGGACGTCATAGAACTGTGCCACAGAGTTGTGCAAGTGGTCTGGCCCAACGATTCCGTGGGCTTCGTGAATTTGAGGTGAGAAGTGGCCAAGGATGATCACTGCGGGTTGATCAGGTCGGATGAGGATGGAACGGACGAGGGTTTCGAAGTGTTCCACCATATCTTGGGTTCTGAAGGCGAGTTTAGCATGAATCTAGACGCGTTTCTGGGTTGGACTTACGGCGCATCGTCAGTGTCAAGTTCGATGATGACAAGGTCTGTGATGTCTGGCAGATGGTGCGCGTTGCAGAAGCCAAAGTAGCCAGAATCCGTGCGGCGCATGGCGCCATTGGTGAGCTCCGTGGCTGGGTGGGGGAAGATCTTATTCCACCACTGGAAGAACTTGGACGGATAGCACTGAGATGAGATGGGGTCGTCGCCTGCACCGTGGCATGCCGAAACTGCAATGCACAAATGGTTAAATGACGAGAAACTGCATAGTACACGATGCATTCGTACCTGAGCCGCCAATGATGCTAATCGTGACCGGCTGTCCAGCGAGAGCCTTGTGCAAGAGTCGTTGCACTCGTGCGCCAGTCCCCAGATGCGAACGACTCTGTGACAGCGTTAGGGTGCCGTATTTCTCCCCAAGCTCATCGCCGTCGTTGTATGATGGGCAGAATTCAAAAGGGTTTGGCCCTAAATTCGTGACATTGAAGTAATTCTTGGACTCCAGATGGGAATTCGAGTACGCTGGTTGGCTCGTAGCAGGGCTCGACGACGACGACAATAGGAAATGGGTGACCACCAACACGGCAGCAATGGCGAGCAGGACCATCCATATACGATTGGTGACGCCAAAGCTACGACGCGCCGGCTTGTCATCGTCGGACCCCATCGTTGAACGCTCTCCTGGCGGCGAAATATAAGCCTGACCACGCCCTTGTCGTCGTTGCATCCGGCGTCCGACGAGGTTTGGGGATGAATGTCGTCGATGGTGGAGGTTAACGGTCAAGTGGCAGTTGATGGGCGTTATGCTCGGAAATTTCTGATTGAGTAAAAATAATTCGAGGCCAAACAGCGGCCGCCATTGAACGTGCTTGCCTTCTGACCACCATTCAAAACAGCGAGCAACACCCTCTGCTCGTTGTCCACCGCTCGTTGAGCTCATCGACCGACGACATCTTGTAGGGCACATGGTGGCAAAGGGCGAAAAGTCACAGGGCGGGCTGTGGAATCAATTACGCCGAATTCCAGCCCCAGCTGCCTTGGCAGTGGGCATCCTCTTTGGCTTCCTTGTAGCGCGTATCGTGCCATGGACGACGGTGAGCACCTTATAACATGCGGGCGCGCTGCCCAGCACGGCGAGCTCGCGGTTGTGGACGTGTTGCTGAGGATATTCATGACAGCCTTCCGTGCCAGTCTGGCGGAGTGGGCACATTCCAGCCAAGGCCCGCTCAACGACGAAGTATCCGATCGAACCCCCAACGCTTGACCAGCGCCGTCGCATCCTAGAGCTCTTGACGACGATGACCCCACATTACACGAAACAGTGCACCCGACATGCACAACCACTTTACACCCAGCAAGCCCTTGAACGGTATAAGCCTCTTATTGGCCACAGTCCACCCATGAACCCATCATGGCTCTCGAGTGTCTTTGGGGCAGAAGATGAACACATTCAGCAGCGTCGGGATCTGCAGAACAGCGAGCACAAGTATTTCTTTGCCATCAACCTCTACAACTCTTTCGACGTTATCCCAGACCTGTTCGCTACCCTCTTCAGGGTGTCTGCGATTTTGGGATACCACAACGTCTTTGTATCCATCTACGAAAACGGATCGACCGACCAGACCAAGGCACTGCTCAGGATATTCGACTCTCTAACCAGGGCAGTCGGGATGCGCGTTATGATTCGCACCTCGACTCGAACTCGAGGAGCGTTCAACCATCGTATCGAGTATCTCGCGGAGGTCAGAAACTCGGCATTCGTCCCTCTGCACGAGCTACGGGACTCTGAGGGCGAATACTTTGACTCCATCATTTTCATGAATGACATTCTCCCTTGCGTTGACGACCTACTCGAACTCATCTGGCAGAGCCGTCGAAACAACGCAGGCATCACATGTGCCGCCGACTACATGTATCACGAAGAAATCCAATCCCCGGTGTTCTACGACAATTGGGTGGCCCGCGACATCAACGGTACTGCTCTCGAGAATGCTCCTTTCGAGAGGATCTTCCACCACACACCGTCCTCTGCTCGGTTCCAGAAGCATCTCCCCGTTCAAGTCCAATCTTGCTGGAACGGTATCGCCGTTCTCGACCCAGCCCCGTTCTACTCCCCCTCCCCTGTCCGATTCAGGATGGCGAAGATCACAGAAGGAGAGTGCAGTGCTAGTGAATGTAGTCTCATCTGCAACGACTATTGGGAGGCAGGCTATGGGCGCATCTTGATGGTGCCTCGAGTCAAATTAGCGTATGACAGCGTACGTCGATTTGTCTTTTACCCTGTCCAAACGTTAAAACTCACCCTTGTTTAGCGGGTGTACGATATCATCCATCCGACACGACGAAACTTGACTGCCATCCGTGGCTACACCCGCCTGGGAGGACTTCCGGACGATCCTCGAACCGACCCTCAAGACCGTTCATGGTTTGGTCCCCATGATCGATTGTTCATTGATGAGGAAGGTGAACCCTTAGATTTCCAGCCGGGCCCTTCGCATGGTACGTTTTTCAAAGGCACATTTTTCCACTGATACTAATTGCGCTTCCTTGCAGTTTGGTGTTGGGGTTGGGATGGTGCTGGAGATTTGGATGGTCCTGACGTTGATCCTATTTGGGAACAAATGCCTAACCGCTCGACCATTGCTGAGTCGGTGAAGGTTAAACACGATAGAAAGATGCTGCTTTGAGGCGTAGCACTGCAGCCATTATCATACATATGTGTCTCCTAATTCATAACATTCATGGCCAATGTTATGACTGCTGCCCGGTCATACATAACCCGAGATACACTAGGGTTCAAGCCTGACGGAGCAAAAAACATACATAGACAAAAGTGGACACTGTGGGATTTGAACCCACGACCTCACGCATGCTGTGAATGCAAAGCGTGCGCGCTACCCCTGTGCCAAGAGCCCGTTGAAGGACTGCTGGGCCTGTAGTTCCTGTTGACAGATATCACTTTCCGCCAGGCTGCCGTAACTTGATTTCGGCGTCAAAGCAAATTCTTCCTGAACTTTGATCTTTACTTCCACCATGGCAAAGGACTCGACTTCCAAAGTCAAAGCCACAAAGCATCAGCTTCCAAGGCCAGTGGTAAGAAGTCGGCAACTGGTGCTCCTTCGCAGCTAGGCCAATCGAGTAGGGGCAAGAAGGCTTGGAGGAAGAATGTTGACATCCAGGAGGTTGAGCAGGGGCTAGAGGAGATTCGGGCTGAGGAACGAGTTGTTGGGTGAGTGCTGGTTCCTGAAAAGTTATTTCATGCTTGACGAAGCTTTATATCTACTCTAGAACTGCAGTACAAAATCTCAAGGATGACCAGTTATTCCAAATTGATGTCAAGGGCGATGATAACGGTGCGGGGAGGTCTTCATATTCGATTTGAAAATCCCTAATCTACTTCCAGTCCGACATGTCCTACCAAAATTCGACAAATCTCAGCTCACATCTGCGAAAATCCTCGCTCAGAGGTCGGCCGTACAGCTGTCTTCTCTCGTCCCACCTCTTCCTCTCAAAAGCGTAAAGCAAATGTCAGCCGGGAAGATAAAGAACGGTTGTTGCGCATAGCCAAACGACCGAGGAAGGGGCCGTTCAACAGTGTTCAGGATACATCTGAGTTTCAGTCGGGTGAAGGTACGGTTGGGCTGAGTGAGGCTGTTAAAGCGAGTGGGAGCTACGATGCGTGGGTCGAAGAGCCCGAGGTTGTGCTACCCGATGGTCTTGAGACCGTCCACAAAAAGAAGGTCAAGGTGAGTGGTTATGACACTCTAATTATCAATTTCAAGGTGCTGAAACCGTCTAGGCACCTGTACTTGCAAAGCCCAGGGACCAGATTGACGTACCTGCGGTACTTGAGCCTCACCAAGGCACATCGTACAATCCTCCTGTCGAGGCGCACCAAGAGCTGTTGGTCAAGGCTGCGGAGATTGAAGCAAAGAAGGTTGCTGAGCTCGAGAAGATGGCGGAGACGAAGAAGAAGATGGAGGCTGCGAAGTTGAGGGAGGATGGGTACGACTGGACACTGCCGCCTGGTATGCAGCTCGACCGGATATCCCAAGTGTCTAGCGACGACGACGAAGAAGGGGGAGAGGCGGTTGTGCCCCGGGCCAAGCAGTCAAAGATGAAGACTCAGGCGCAAAAGAACAGGGCTGCTCGTGTTGCTGCAGAGGTGCGTTGTTTTCCTTTTATCACTATAGCCTTTCTGATATTTTGTCCAGCAACGCGCTCTGTCAGATAAAGCAGCAAAGAAAAAACTCCTGGCTTCGATCGAACAAGCCAAGAGTTTCCGCAAGGCAACTGCACGGCAGATGAGCGAGCGGGAGAAGGATCACCTCAAAAAACGACTCGAGCTACAGGAGAAGATGAAGAAAATGGGTTTGGCTGGGCAGAAGCTGGGGAAACATAAGGTGCCTGAGGGAGAAGTTTCCGTACAGATTGGAGAGGATCTGAGCGAGAGTTTGCGTGGTCTCAAGGTGCTTTTGAATTTAAAATCTGGATCTTGGACGCCGACTAATGGGTTTTGTATGATAGCCTGAAGGCAACCTGTTCAGGGATCGGTTCCAGAGTCTTCAGCAGCGAGCTCTTATTGAGCCTCGTAACCTCGTCTTGTATGTGTTTTTCACTGGCCGCGCGCGAAACCCCTATTCACTCGTGTTGCAGGCCGAAGAGGCGCAAGCATCGGATCGTGGAATACGAGAAGCATGCGTGGAAACGGTTCGATCGCGATTAAATTGTGTACCGGCAGACATACTTTGCGTGTTTTGCCTGAATCAAATCTGCAATCGCGCGAGAAGTGCGCAGGCATGCCAAATCCAGCGAGGGCTCGCATCTCATTGGTATCTGCTTGCCAGTGAGGCAGCCAGTTGGATGTACATCATGAATGACAGCGCGCTTTGCCTTCTCGGATTGGAACAGCTAAAACGGGCTCAGGACTTGTGAACGTGGGCGTTATGTCGCTCCATTGAATGTTAGACTTTGTGAATGGCGAGTGCATCATCTATGACCCACTTCTGCCAGAAGCTTTCTAGTAAGCGATTTCTCAAATACAGAGAGCTTGATCAAAGGTCTTGCAGCTGAGGATTACGCCGTAGTAACCCAGCAGCTCCTGTCCTATCGGAGACCGTTTCTGGTCCATCTTTGAAGAGCTTTGCGTGCAGCCTCCCGTTCAGTATATCATCCTGGTAAAGTCTTACAACAATTCCTTGTATCAGTACTGCTTGATTTCTCGGCCCCTACCCAAGGTGTCCTGACTAGTCACTGGTACGTTTCAAATCCATCCATTTCAACCCTCCTTGTTTATGTGAGTATGGGACATGGGCTTGCCTTGGAAATCACTCTATAGGGACCTCCGATCGAGAGCACCCAATGAATGAGGTTCGCCTCCGTCTCCGAGTCGGTCTTCTGTTTGGCGCCATACACCCCGTCACGGTTGCATATAACGCCGATCACCCGCTCAATGTGAATGCTTCCTACACCTTTTATCAGATTTGCGAGCATTTAAAGGTCGCATGCGTTGACAAGAGAACTCAAACGCCTGTCACGACCGGGAGCACTTGAGCCCTCACTCATAAGAGAGATAACAATCTGAACAAAGCGGCGTATTATAACGCCGGTGGTACGAGCTGTATTCATTTGGGTGCACCTGACTTACCAGCCACGTTAAGATAGCTTTCAGTCCAAAAAGGATGGAAGCCTGGTCACGCGGTAGATTCGACTCCGCTCACAACCCAAGGCCTCCCACTGCGGCCGTCCAGTACATATAAGAGGTACCTGACGAAGTTCTAGAAGCAATCTCTACCATGGCCATCAACATTACTGGCGAGGAGGGCAAGTATCGTGCCAACTTGACCCATGGAACTACCACTGTTTCTTGCCCCAATGCCGGAGCGGCAGTCACTGACACGGCGACGAACATGCTTCGCCTTGTCGTTGACGCCATCGACCGTGGATGGTTCAGAGCCGACGCCACCCAGATCGGTGTGATGTCAGTCCCAACATCTCAGCGATACCCCTGCCACTTCCACTGACGATTGGATATAGTGGAAAAGCTCATAGTACTACCTTGGACGCCTCAAGACAGCCAGTCCCTGATGCTAAGCACATCACAGTCACAGTCACTATGGGACCCCCCACCGCCGATATCAGCTGGGGATCACTGGGAACCACTGGGTGTCACTGGGTGTCGCCGGACGATTGGTGGGAGCCACTGGGAGATCAGTGGGCGGCTATCGGGTGCTACTGGATGCTACTGGGCTTTACTGGGTAGCCCGTTTCGCCGGAGCTCGCTGGGCTCACTGGGATTTCACTGGGAAGTCCATCTCGCCGGAGAGCGCTGGGGCTTACTGGGATTTCACTGGGTGGCCGATTACTCACTGCTCCCAGCTGATGCCCACTTCACGTCAACCACGTGTCCCGCTGCACATAGGCGCCCGTTTAGCGCTGTGCCCAACGTCGATGTTTCAACAACGCTCAGAGCATGCATTCCTTTATACCTTTTCTTTCAATCTGAAAACACGGTCTGAATTATCTCTTTAATCTTCGCGGGTGTACAGCCATTGCAAATGGGCCATAAATTCATGTTTGAATGAAATTTGAATTTGGATATTGCACTGATGTACTAGCCCAACGGCCATGGAAAAGGGAACTAGCGAGGTGTCAAGGCGTTGGGAGGACTTGTGTGATCTCGAAGGGTCGTCTCGATCGCGCACGAGCCTGTTTGTCATTCTTTGCAACCACGCCAGCCACCGGCCTAGAAAAGCCGCGGGTCAGAGCGCCAACGCACTTTGGCTTTCTTTCCCCTTCTTCCGTCTCTGCGACACGCTGATCCTCGTCTTGGTGCGTCTCTTTCAGCTTCATGCCTTGTTCGATTTGAATGTTTGTTGACAGGTCTGATGATTTTGGGTTTATTTCCCCTTATTCCGACATATCCTTGCCCATCAGTGCTCGACTATAACGAGTTTCTTCATCAAGGGAAGCACTCTGGACTCCGTGCCTGTGTCAGTGCAAGAACCCTTGCGCTTGACGGAGTCCAAGGAAGTTGGAACAACTGGCAGTTGAGTACGTCCATTCGCCTTTTCGCCCTTCTCAACATGCACCGCCTAACATTGCTTTCTCCGATCCAGTACCGACTTCGTCGGATTTCCGCACCATCGCGCCGCCATTTCGGTTCTCGCGAACGCCCATCCTTGATCGAGTCGTAGGATTTGGTTTGCCAACAGCAGCTTTCTGTACTTTATGCTTCTGTAAGTGCATAGGTCTCGCAAGTTTAGGGCGAAGCTGACTTACCATCTGTGTTGGTGATACTGCGACAAACGACGAGGACCGGCTTGGGTCGGTTGATTATTTTCGCGTCCCCGTAGTCACAGTGTTTAGCTCTTGTGTAGTACATACAAATTCGCAATGATGATCCTTTTCTCCCATCCACTCTAAACCGGTTTGAGCTATTATAATCGAGGATCATGGGGGAAAGGCAACAAGCCGGACGACTATGAATGGGTATTCCAGCTTCTATCACCGGATACCGCTGGAAACCCCACCGTATGGATGTGGCAAGGCACAGTGAGCACTAGTGGATGAACCCACTGAGAACCAATGGGAATGTCCAGTAAATCTGTCCCAAAAGACCACCTATCGGACCTGGATTATCGCTGGGTGGCTCCCAGCGGTGATCCAGCTAGAGCTGACGGTAAATCCAGCAATATCCATCAGTATCGAGCGGATAACCCAGTAAGCCTGAATGGCTATTCCCAGTAGCACACCCAGTGACAATCCGGTGAGGATCACCGGTGGGGAGGCTCATAGTGAGTCAAACCAGGCGGAAAGGCCAAACATCTCTACCTCTTACCAGATGACGGGACAGATGATGTCCTGGAAACCACTACCCTTGATGACGAAAAGTTCCTGCCAATCCCTGAAAGAA